GACAGCATCACTGAAGCAATGAGCATGAAACTGAGCAAACTGAGGGAGGCAGTGAATGACAGGAAGGCCTGGCGCAATATGGTTCACGGGGTCACGAAGAGTCGGACACAACTTAACGACTGAACAACAAAGCTTTTATTATAAGCTAATTACATATAATAATTTGATGTGTTTGTTCAAAAGTTGAACAGACTTCCATTTTAAGCATTGAGGATTGTAAATGTAGAGGGGAGACAGCTCCCTTTAGACTTCCCATGCTGATAGAAAATTCTGGGAATATGCTATGGCAACTTTCAGCTGAATATTATTACAATGACCCATGGAATGAAGACACTGATTATTATGGTTCTCAAAAGCCAGGAGTACTATATAATCTCTTTTAATAAAAGATGGTTGTAGCTTAACTCTAGACTTTTTCTCTAAACATGGAAAGGTTGAAAGTAGCTAGGTTGATTTATTTCTCCTCTGTGCTTAGGACGAATGCCCAAACAAGGTGTATGTTGAACTAAAACAAATTTGGGAAGAAATTCTCATTCAGGCTCAAGATTTCAAACATATTAACATCTGATTTTGAAAATGTGCTTCGTTTACACTTACCTTGCAAGGCCTTTCCCCCTCTTTTCTAAAACAAGAGATCCCTCTAATTAAACTCAACTCCTAGAGATTACATGAACACGCTAGTGGAGGTTTCTTCGCAATGTGCTGGAAGTAGTTTGAAAAACTATCATGAAAGAAAGCAGTGGTGATTTTGCAGTCTAGCCTACAGCCCTGAGATTTCCTGGTAGTTTCCAAACCAGAATCTGAGTCTGTTTAGCTTTGTAAGATCAGCCAAAGTTGGCCAGATGCTGCCACCTACAGTACCTCTTAATAAATCAATGCCAGTGGTTTATTGTTGACTTGTGTGGATATCAAATGTCATAAGCATTTTTGTATAACTTGTTAAAAGAGTTATGGTTCAGGATGCATTTTCTTTTGCAGTGAAAGTTATACAGACTGGAGAGAAATCCTTTGTCTCTAATGCTAAAGCCTCAATATTGAGGCTTTGAAAAAGATTCCCACTAAACACTTCAGACCAGTGGTTTGCAACCTTGGGAACTTTAAGATGTGTGGACTTCAACTCCCAGAAT